GAGTAATAACTACTAAAAATAGTTATGGAATCCGGTGTTAACTGTTTAGATAAATTACATTTCTGAATGTTATGTTTACATTCTTCAAAAAGTAACTTAGTACGGTATAAGTTCACATAGCAGAAGCTGCCATCCTGTACAGTACAATTTAAATCTTTTACAGGTAAGACTTTTTTATTATGTTGTAAAGGTCAGCGTAAATTGACCACATTATTAATGTAAGATGGTAAATTGTGGGTAAGGATTAGGCTATGAATAGAAAAATAGGATTGTTCTCTCAGGAGGATGAGAGACTAACTGCTGCGATATCTTTTTCATGGCAGAACACGCCATAGCAAAGATATGTTGCCAAATGCAAGGCAAATATGGAAACAAATTACTGCATTCAGTGGGTAAAAATAATTCCTCAATAAAGCATATCAATGATGAGATATTTAACTTTAAGGGGTTAACAAAGTGTGAAAGCTTCTTAATGTAATCGTTGGCACATCGCTACAATTTAAAGTGTTATGAAAGTTTTATCTTAGGTGAACATTTGGCAATAAGTGGGTTGAGATTTTTGCGTTATCATCTCTGTGAAATATGTATTCTTAACAAATGTTGCTGCTGGGCTTTTAACATTTTCTTTGCTTTGAAAACCAAAGAGCAAATGCCACAGAGCGCATAGTGTGGTTATCAACAGGAAATATAGTAATCTGAAAAGAGAAAGTTTTGTTGTCAAGTTGGGATAACTGTCTTTTTATACCTCTGTGTTCATGTGGGTAATGCTAACAAAGAGTATCCCCATTGAAGTTGCCCTTTTTTAGATTCAGAAGAATTCGAATGAGGCTAAAAGTGAACATTTCCACTGGAGCTCCAGTCTCAGGGAAACAAAGCTCATTCACCACTGACAGAGAGCCTTGTGTATTTCAGCGTCAGATAGAAAAGTGTGCATTAGCATATTCTTATTGAAGTTTAGAAGTTAAGTGCCAAAGTGGCACATATGGATGTATCTCATGAAATTCTGCTATTTTCTATCAGCATTGCGGCTAATGTTGCATGACTTGCATTGTGGCATATTGTGATGCATTCCCTCTTCTTTCTTTGTCTTTTGTGGGTTATATGCTAACTGATCCATTAGGGAAAAAACACCACGTGTTTACTGTAAGTGTGACAGTACGTTACACTCTCTGCTTATCTTGTATGCCCACATCGCATCAGTCAATTTCTTCTTACCTCTATTCGCTTGCTGTATTTGCTGATATGGCTGACTTTTGTCCTCAACAAAACATGCAGCGTTTGAACAGCTTTTGATAAAATTGAAAAGTGTTTTTGACTCGCTGTGTGTTCTCAAGCGTTACAGGATTTTTCAGCGTGGAGATAGTCACTGTACACCTGTTGGATCCAAAAACCTTCACATCTCAGGTTGCCACACATGCACATGATGACATTACATGTCTGTCCGAGTAATCACACACACACACACACACACACACACACACACACACACACACACACACACACACAGACACACACACCAAAAGATAAGGAATATACAGTAGAAGAATCGGTTCAATAGCAGTTTCCTGGGTCAACTTTTCCTCTGCTGAGCTGTTGAACAAAAGCTCTGTTCACTAGAATCTCTGGGAAAGAGTCCCAGTTTTGACTTCAGAACATTTGGCATTGTTGGTAGTTGACCTCCCAGAAGGATGACCATAGTGTTTGTGTGTGCATTTATGTGCACATTGGTTCTGTGTATGAGTTTGGCAGTGAATATGAAGATGGGTATATGTGTTAGCTTACTGACTAGCTGGCAAGATCTAAATGAAAGCAAATGAAAAAGGAGGCCAGGAATAGAAGTTGGGGATGAATGGATACTGAGAAGGAGATAAAAGCTTCAGATAAAGGCAGTGGCAGCCAATTCTCCACGTCCCCATGATGTTACAGGTGTTATCGTTAAATCCATCCACTCTGCAATCGCTGGTTGCTAATGCGTCCCCCTCTCTCTCCTCGCTGTATGTGTTTGTATGTCTGTGTGTTTCTCTCCTCTATCGTCTCTGTTTCCTCCAGCCTGAGTAAATGTCAGAGCAAGCTGCTGCTCTTCCCAGACCACGCCGTGGGAGACAAACCAACCTCATCGCCGTGGCAACCCTCTGTTCTGGCTCAAAGAAAGAGGCAAGGGCGGAGAAGAAAGGAACTTTTATGCCTCTGAACCCCCACTAGTTTCCTCATCCCCCCTCGTCCTTGTGCATTGTAGCCCAGCCCTGAACCATGTGGCCAAGCTCCCAGGCTTTACTGTGACTAGAGAGGAGGAAGAGAGGACTGCAATTACTAAGTAGTTGACGAGGGATTTCTCAAAGTGAAAAAGGAAAATAAGATGTTGTAGAATTATTGGCAGAGATTCTATGGGGCATTGTTCTTTCATAGATACTTTATTTATACTTTAATTGTATTACAGAAAATAAAAACTCTTCAATCCTGAAAAGAGAAATCCTGCCAAAGACATTTCTCAAATAAGGTGAATGAAGCTTAGAATTACCAGCAAGGCAAGGAAATGGCCATATTAGATTTCCCAGAATACTTCCTTGGCTTGGAGCCATTGTATTTGGTTTCAATTTACACCAGCAGGAGGCTGCCCGATACCTTTCTTCTCTGGTAATGGCTTTCTTCTCCAAGCTGACTTGTCACCTCTAACAAGAAGTGTACCTCAAGAGAGCTCAGCGGGCATAGGGAGTCATTGTAGGAGCCTGGCCAAAGAATGTCACTCATACTGTACCCGGAGTAAAGACTATTTTTTTTCGTGACAGCACAATTGGTTGTGGCACTAAGTTGAGTTGCTGAAATGACATCATTGAGCTATTACACTTCTTGAGGGGGAGGTAGGAGACAACAACTGAAAGAGGGGGAGAGGGATGGAAGTGCGGCGGTTTCGGTCAGAAGTGAGGAACCATCTGGTTGTAGGTAAGGCACCATATTTTATACTGGCGGAAGCCCAATATTGTGTCTCCAGTAAATCCAAGTTTCTGCCTGTAAATGTGCCCATTTCACACTTTAAAACTGTCCATTCTGCTCCTCTGCAATTTCTCTCTCAATCTCTTTCACCTAATATTCACAATTTTTTCATTCATTGGTGTATCAACATGGAAACTCACACAGACCATCATCTTTAACTTGTTTGTGACCTTCCTCCTTTTTTTGCTCTAATAATTTATTTTGAGAGCCACTTAACCCACGCCACCTTCCTTCACCACTACATCACAATAAGACCGTATCTAAGGAATGAAAAGACCTTTAACACTCTCCTCCATCGTTGCCATGCTTACAGATACAATTAATATCCTGTTAATGCGTGTGCTTGTATAACAGTGAAAAAAGTCATTCATGCCATTGCAACAATATGTACAAAGAAGCACAGGTGTGAATAAGGGCAGTATTTACATCTAAATGTGTATATTAATGACTGAGATTGTGTCTGTTTTGCCAATAATAATCAGTGATTGCATATTGCCTCATTGGAACTAATATGCCCTGTGCATGAGGGGGGAAGGCCTGTCGTGAGAGCTGGGGCAGGTGTGTGTGGAAGTATTTCCGTGCGAGATGCCCTGTTTTTGGTTTTCCTGATCACATGGTCTTTTTCTAAACGTGTGTGCATGCATTCATCTTTTGCGAGCATATGTGCTATGTGTGTCTGCGTGGACTGTGTATGCATAATGGTGTTTTCTGCTCGGCTGGCTGTGCCGGTGTGCGCCTGTGTTCAGGTTGCACATGACCCCGGCTCCACTGGGAGGTCCGTGTCTTTCATGTCCCCTGTTCAGTGCTCCCTCAAATCTGGGTCAAAGGATAAAAGAATAACCTCTATCCGCTATGATTTCCACACACCCCAACACACACTGACACACACTGACACACACTGGCCTCCCTGAAAAATGACTTCCTGGAGATTTGAGTGGTAACAAGGTGGCATCGTGGAGGACACTGAAGCAGACAACTTTTAAAATTCACCTTATGTAGCAGCAGACACACTGTCCTTAATCTAGACCCTGTCACCTCTGTCTGTTAACAACAGTTATTCACTGAACCAGTAACTCATTCAGTCCTTCCCCATCCAACGTCACCCTCTGTCTCACTTTGTTTGTTTCAGAACATCTCACAGTTGACCTTGTGTAGACCAGATGAGAATGCTGGATTTGCAAGTCGGCAGAAAGTCGATTAGGAATGCGCCGCAGCTCAGTGTCTCCTGGCATCTCCGTGTCTGTCTCTCTGTTTTCTGCTCTTCCTCTCGAAGACTTTTCTTCTCTCCTTCACTAAGCCTCTCCAACAATGCTGATGCTCTGGACAAGCTTCGACCCTCCGAGGAAGAAAAAACCATGCAGGGGCATTTGTGCGTGTCAATCTGTGCAAAGGCATTCATGGGCGTGTGTGTATGTGCAGGGGCGCCGTAAGGGGGAGAAAATTTAGGACGATTCTAAGGGCCCGTGACTGACAGGGGCCCAAACAATTTTAGTACATTAAACAAAAAAAGTTTAAGTAACCAATGTGCGCCCCTGTGGCAGTTAGGTAAGATAGACCTTGCCAAATAACAGAGTGAGCATCCTCCATCCCCTGCGTTTCTGAGCAGCGGCTGTCATTGAGGTCTTTTCTTTCTCTAGTAAAAAAAAAGACTGAGGGGGAAGCAGGGAATTGTTCCTGCGTTGGGACACCCTGCCTCCCTCATAGCTCCAGCCCTGTGGGCCTCAGGCTTGCAGCAGAGCAGTGTGTGTGGAGGATGTTAAGACCTACTGCCTGTCATAGATAAAAGCTGCAGACCTCCTACTAGCAGTGGGACTCAACCATCTGGGAGGACCACTTGCAGTGCCTTATATCCATGGACCCCCTGCTGCGTACTCTTGTATTCACACATACACAGCATGCTTACAAATCCATGCAAAGTGTGGACACTGCCAGATTGATGGAGAAGTCCCCATGGCACACTTTTTGTCTCCAACAACTTAAAAAACATTGTTCAATGAAGACCCTTCCCATCACTCCCGATAGTCTGCGCATTCTTTCTCCACCACCTCCTCTTCTCCATCCTGCACAGCCAGAGTAGCACATTGTTCCAGGACCATTCCCTGTTAATGGAAAAGGGGTGTAACATATGTGTCATTGTGTGAAAAGTCATCAAAAGCTGACAGGGGGTATATAATGAGAGAGAGATGGTTTTCTCTGTCAGCCAAAACTTTACAGTAAAAGACAGGAAGTGATGGCCGCTGTATACTGTCCTCTTGCTCTGTTTGATATCATGGCCTGCAGCAGTGTGAGCCTCAAAAACGCATCACCACAGCTCCTTCATACACCATTTACAGTAGGGATACAGCTAGCAATTATCTTGATTTTTTGGTCTAACAAATTGTAAAAATGTCCATCCCAGTTATCAATGTCCAAGGGGTATTCTTTTATTGTCATGTTTTGTCAGAGAAATAATCCAACAATATTCTGTTTTAATATGATATCAAATGGAGAGAGAAATATTTTCTGTCGTTTGCATGAACAATTATTTTTTAACATGAAATAGATAATAAATGTATTTTTCAATGTCATTGTTGTAATTCTTAGTTTACATTAGGGCTTGATAATTTAAACGGCACCAAACTCAACACAAAATGGTCTCTACGCAATCCTAATGAGACCTTTCTCTTTTACAACAAGAACATATTTCTTGCATCTCTTACAGTATCGCCCAAAACCACCCATTAGATGAAAATATGAATATTAGATTCAAAGTTTTCAATTATTAAACAGCTGCATGAGATTCTTGACATTGGTAGACTCTCGCTCACATGCTGCCCTGTGTTTGAAGCAGAAAGACTTGCTTAATTATGTAGGTTGTCTAATATAGAGAACATGGGAGTGTGAAATCATTTTGCTCTGGCATAGTAATAGTTAATGTGCGGCAGTTAATTGAGAATTGCCAGATGCACTAATGTGGACCTGCCTAACTGAATACTGTAAAACATATCTTTAGTTTAATTTTATTTTATTCCTAGTTCAACATGTGGAGAAAAAAATACAATGGTCTATCTGCTTTGCGCTTTACTCAGACCTTGAGGAAGGATAGTGGATGGAGTGTATACCCATTTGGTTTCTCCTCTCCAATGACTCAGGTGCTGATCTTCTTCTATCTTTACCAGCAGAACCCGGAGAAGTGAAAACACAATTCTATCCTGGGAAATTACCCTGTCGACAGACTGCACATTGAGACTTCGTTAGCACAACCACCCAACCTAGTGCCTCTCCAGCCTGATCGAACGGAGCAACTCTCCATGACAGGGTAAACAAAGCAGAATCACAGGCATGATGGGCAAAATAAGGTTTTTTTTCCCCATGTGATTAAAATGCTACAAATCCCTGAATACCCTTGTGTGTTCATGTGTTTGCACCTAAGAATGTGCAAGTGGAAATGTCTAAAGGTGTTCATTTTTGTTTTAATTATGCATGTTTATTCTGTCTGTGTGTATGTGTGTCTTTAATGAGGGTATTTTATTATGTAAATGCAACTGTATATATACAATGTGTCTACATCGATAATGCCATAAAATACATTTCTGCTTGGTATTTGTGCAAATATGTGTGTGTTTGTGTGCGTTTATATTTATGTGTGCCTCTCTGCCTGTGTGTATGACTTTCTCTGTGCGCTTCAGGCAGCCAAGAATGTCTGTGTTGAGGAGAAAGAAGAGGCAGAGGAGAGGTGTAAGTCAGAGACTGCAAGTAAACAACCTACAGTAGCTACAGCAAGTGTCAGTCTGCCTGCCTCTGCCTCTGCTTCCGTGCCTCCCTCCTTTTACTTTCCATTCCTGCGCTTAAACAAACACACACAGCAATTGGGCTGCCAAGTTACTGAAGAAGTCGTTCAGCCAACTTCCGGGCTTTACACCTCCGCTCAGCTTTTTGTGCCCAAATTGATAATTTAATCAACTATTGCCATGTAATCAATTAGGGTGTTCATCCCCGACTCTGAATCTAACAGTTAATTGGCTTGTGCCACGGAGAGACGGAGCGCAGGCTGGTGCAGGAGGGACTGTTGGATTACTACAGATGGGCTCCTCAGACCTATTTACATTGTGCCTGACTTTAAGTCGTTGATTGCCTTTCTGGTGCCGATATTGCTCTAGTGAGAGCAGCACAGGTTTGGAGTGGACCTCAGTGACAAATCCTCCCTGTTTTAATGAAGAGGGAAGGCATACACATCGAGCACACACAGCGGGTTATCCCTCTACTTTGATCCCAATCTTTCACACAGATGCATGCAGGTTTCGCTTCCATTAAACAGCCTTTGTTAATTTTTACTCAATGTCCGGAAAAATTCTTTGCCACCTGCAGTCAGCACTGCTTTGTCTGAGCTCATAGAGAGCAAAGCATTTCAAGTCAAAACCCTGCTGTATTGATCCATCCAACACCTTATTCCATTTTGTCCTCTAAAACATGCCTTTTCACTCGGTTGAATTCTATTCAAAGCTATCCAGCGAGACCTGTGTCAATAGGGAAGCTTGACTTCATTCCATAGATCTGGAAGCCCCCCGGGGGCTAAGCATAGGCTGCTAGACCATGACAGGCAGGGGGCTAATAGGCCGGATAGGATTGGATAAAAGAAGAGGGGGGGATTGTTGCAAAAAAAGTTTTAAGACCAGGACACCACCATCTGCTTTTGTGGTGATGAGCATCAAAGCCTGAAGGAACCCTGTTGGGTCTCTCTTTCAGATGGCCGTCCTACATATGGGCTTCATATTTCACAAGGACAGACAGTCAGCCGGGCCCATTGGGCCACAGCCGAGCCACTATTCTGTCTCCCCGCATGGTTTCCAGCCTTTGAGAAGAGCAGCACGATTACTTTTATTTCTCCCGAGAAATGGGGCTAATAAATGACCAGGCTTGACCCAGAGGATTTGGGCGGCCACCCCCACCTCCTTAAATGAAGGTATGGAAGAAGAGGGGCTCTGTGGGAATGTTACTGTTGATAAAATTTTCAAGAAATGGGTCAGAGCATGGCTGCAAAGACATGCTCCCAGGGTGATTAATTATTGAAGTGACTAATACTACATTTGCCTGGCAGCACTGGGGGCCTCAGTCCACATTGGTGACACCAAAACAATAATCAGCTGTGCTTTATCTTTTATCTATGTTCCCGCCTTTCCTTCCCCCATTTCCCAGACTTCCTCTTAACTCCCGCTCTTTCTGTTATTTTTCCCTTACAGACTTCTGTTTTCCTCTGTCTCTCCCACTTGATGATCACAGACCTCATTATCTAATTATGCCTTTTCACTCAATCTCCATATCTCTGTGCCTCCCTTCCTCTCCATCTTTCAGCCCCTTCTCTTGTTTCCCCTCTCAGTGGCATAGCCTCCATCTATAAGTGTGCTCCTTGGTGAGAAATGTGAAGGCAGACACATATAATATCAGTGCTGATGGAAACCAGCCGCTCTTTTCTAACTCTGCTTCTCCTTACGCCAGACTCTGCCTGCCTCAAGGTAGCATATGGCATTCTCTCAGACTGCTGGACTCGTTGGCCTCCCACACAACACTATGCATCTATCTCTCCCTTACTCACAGCTGTTTTATGGGCTCTCCAACAGTTATTTTCTCCAATACCCCTCTCCCCTGATGCTGTGCAGAGCCCCATCCGTGCACTTTCTGTTTCACACAGCCACACTTCAGTGACGCTTACTGCAGAGATGGCTCAGGTCTGGCAGTTGGTGAGAGGAGGGCGGTCGAGTCTGGAAGGCACAGTCATTAGTTAAATATTAGCCAGACTGTGCTCTATTCCCCCAACATCTAGGGGAGGGGAGCAGGAGTCGTAGCCTTCCAAAACAATAGGCCATAAGGGGATGGCTTTGTGCCCTCATGCTCATGGATATAGGTGCACACACACAATCCCTTCCTTACAAACCCATACAGATGGTGATTTCTTTGTTATATCTCTTACATAAGGTGCAGAACACATCATACCCTTTGAGAGGTGTGTTAAGCAGAAGGTGTAACAAAAATGAAGGTGGGGTCACAAACAACAATACACAAGGTCCACAATTACACCAATTCACAGAGAAAACATGGTTGATGTAGTGGATATGTGTTGTGCCTGTAGATGTAGAAATTCAGAGGTGAAGACAATGGTAAGGCAAAATTGAACAGACGGTCACAGAGTTGAAGTACGTATTTACGCACAATTTAAAAAAAGTGTTATGGCCAGGGGACAATCAGGTAGCTGATGATGGAGGTAGATGTTGCTTGCTTGGATATTCAAGATTCAGCATCTTTAAATTACAGTCGGGCAGCTGTTTTATGAATTTAATTTGACATTTCTGGGTAGACCAAAAAGAACAGCAACCTCAGGAATATATTTAGTTTGAATAAGAAGAGTTGGAAAGTTATCGTGGATTTTTGTTGATAGTTTGTTTTGCCTCCAGATTGAGACAAATCTTTTGGGATTATATTGAGATCACTGTGGACACCATATCGGTGAGAGTTTGAGGTCTTGCTTGTGTGTGTTAGTGTTTGTGTTAGTGTCTCCAAGGCATGATGTGTGGCGGCTACAAGGCACGTGCACAGGATTCATGCTGTTTGTGTGGTGAGGGGTGTGTGGAATGCATGTTGTGAGATTCAGAGATCATTTCTGCTCTGTCCAGGAAGCCTCTGGTCAGACAACAGCTTCCTCTCTTCTCATTTTGTTCTGCTCACTTCCTTCTCCAATTCTCTCTTTGCCCACCTTCTTTCTATTGTCCTTCACTTTAAATGTGAAGACAACATTCAACATGTCATAAACAGTACATGAAAACCTTGGAAAACAATTATCATAGTTCTATAATTTAAACAGAATTGATAAAATTACATTATAAAACTAAATGTTAAAAGAAAAGTTGTTAGGTATGACAGCCTCAAGTTACAGAAACCAGATTCAATGGATATTCCTTATAGCTGTTTTTTTATTTTATACTATAGCTTCCATATAATGTCCATCATGTGGTACTCCACTCTTCAGGTAACTAAAAGCAGACGGCGCTGAAATTGGAAACAGTCTGATTCAGAACTTCAGAGTATCTCAGAGTCAATGCTTTCTCTGTTGCACCTAAGCAGTCAC